AAAGGCAAAGAAAACAGGCCAAAGCCTCTCCTGTTAAAATACAAAATGGAAGCTTTGGAGACAAGGCTGGGAAGATAAAGCAGCACCTGAACAACCTTCTGGTCTGAGGGTGCCTGCCTTCAAATAATATTACTGGCCAGCCAGGGCCTCCCCTGTCAGGTTCATGGCTCACACACAGATCTTAGAAAATTAATTTCTTGGGTCAATAAGATCTTACAGGCCTGAGCTTTATTAATGCTGTGTGTTCCCTGAGACATTTTGGGACACAGCTTCCAGATCTGTGGATTCCTTCTCACCTGCAGTGGAGAGTTGTGAGGTACTGTAACCGAGTCCTGCAGAGAGGAAGGGACATGCTCTGTGAGCTGTGGGGGCTTGCAGAGGTTGGCTTTGCTAAGCTTGCAAATCTGAGTCCTGGCAGGGGCTCTGTGGGATCAGGTTTGGGGAAGGGACCATAACCCTCCATAACTCATGCTCAAGAAAGGAAGAGTCACCCAAAAGATAAAGTGTTATCCCACTCATAAAGGTCAGCAGACAATGAAACGGATGAATTATTATCTGTGTGAGAGTCTGAAAAGCCCAGATACTGCAAGGAACCTGGGTGGGTTTTGTTTCAAAGGATAAACAGGATCTTGCTGTGTCCTGTTGAAAATATCCTGTTGTGTAAAGATGATTTTTTTCCTGTTTATCTTAAGCAGAATGTGCAACTACTAACGAATGCAAGGCTCTAATGTCTGAGCTGAAGATCCTCATCCATATAGGACATCACCTGAACGTGGTCAACCTGCTGGGAGCCTGCACCAAAGCTGGAGGTGAGGAGTGCTCAGTAAATCAGGAGCAAAACCAAAACACTTTTCAGACACTTTTGGGTGTTTGGAAGTGCCTGTGGTGCAGTCAGTGCAACTACAGCATTTCCAGCTCTCTGCTCACAGGAGAGCTGCTGCAGCTCCTGCAGGATGTGGCCTCATCCCACCCAGGGCTCCTGAACCTCTCCCACCTGTGGTGTCACCTCTCTGTTCTATCTGGAGGCACTGAAGGGAGGAGAACATTGGATTGCACTGAGGTGCCCAGTTCCTCCCTGTGGGCATTTCCAGGCTTCTTCTCCCTCTCCTTCCCTGCCTTATCAGGAGGGTGCCTTTCCAGGCTGAGCTGGGCTCCCTGAGCCTCCTCTTTCCCACACAGCAGTTTCTGCTCTGTGGGCAGGAAGCCTGGGACAGCCCTGGGTGCAGCAGGAGCAGGGGCTGAGCTGGCAGGACTGGCCCTGCATCGTACAAAGTCCCATAAATGTCAGACCTTTGTCACTAAAGCATCCCTTCCCATACTGCCAGACAAAGCATCCGTGCCTCTTACTGGGCTTCAGCTTCAGGGGAGCAGCTCCTGAGGATGGCTCCTCACTGCTGACCTCCAAAATCTTCAAAACCACCCCCAACAAACAGGTTTAGGTGACCCGAGGGCAAGGGAAACCCCAGAGTGACAGAAATGAAGGGGGGAAATCAAAAGAGATGGTGCACAGATCTCTGGTCATCTGAGACCCCAACACCATCAGTTTCCAACAGCTGTTGTCCAGTCATAAGGGAAAAGGAAAATTTCAGTGAGGGAGATTTGGGAGGGTGCCAGGGAAGAAATCTTTCCTCCAGCAAGGTGCTTCCAGTTCCTCAGGAAAGAGCAACCAGCAGCCATGGATACTGCTGGGGTCTGGGATCTCTCAAGAACTGTAGCACTCCAGACCCCAAAAACTTGTGTGGGAGCAAGGGGCAGCAGCTCCAGCTGAGGGATTTGGGGTTCAGATGCAGCAGCCAGGAGCTTTTGCTGGGTGTGTGAGCAGAGGGGCTGGGACACTGGGAATGCTGAGGACTCCCCCGTGCTCCCCTGAGGGGGCTCAGGACAAGCAGGTGCCCCAAACCTGGCAGCAGGACGGGGGTCGGTGGTTCTTAACCCGAGCAGCCCCAGAGTTCTGCTTGCACAGCAAGATTCACCTCAGGGCTGATCAGAGGCTCTGATTGTCCCGTTTCTGAGAAACTTTTTCCCCTGGGAGTTCCTCGATTTGCCATTCTCCCTCCTGCCCCGTCCTGGGTGGGAGGTGACCCTCCCTCCTCCCCGCCAGGCGCCCGGGGAAAGCTTTGGGGGGCAGAGTCGGGGGCAGAGGGGTGCAGCAGGACCTCCCAGGGCACGGAGCAGCCCCGAGGCGGGCACTGCTTTGTTCTCCTCCAGCACTGCAAGTGCAGACTAAAGGAAAACAGCCTGGAGCTCCAGAGGCAGACGCTGATCCGAGCTCCTGTGAAATTCCAGCGCTGCCCCCTCCCCGTTAGGCTTTATGTAACCCTGTATTCCTGATGGAGACTGGTATTAAGTATGCACATACATTATTTTAACAAGGTATCAAATAACAGAATTTAACACTTTGCCGGAGTGTCTGATGTTCAGCAGTCAGAACTAATGCAGTGTGTGCTTTACAATGAGGGAACAAAATATGGGCAGGCCATGTCTAGGAAGCGTTTCAAAACCGTGAATAAATCACTAAGCAGAGCTTTAAAGCTGTTCTGGAATCTGCATTTCCTCAGGGCATCCATGAGGGACATTGGATTTTGGGTTCTTCAGAGCCAAATCTCTTGAGCACTGAGCAGAGCTCTGGGGTCAGCACTGGAAGCACTGGGATTTGGGGATTTGGGGTTGGTGGTTTTGCAGCCACTGCAAGGTTTTCAGGCTTGTTTCAGCTGCAGCAGAGGGACTGGGGGTCCTGGAGAGCCCCAAGGTGTGCACTCAAGGCAGCAGTGCCGTAGAGCTGCGTGAGTGCAGAACCTGCAGGAATCCACAGGGAACGCCACGGGCTCTGTTCTGCCTGCAGGAATTCAGCATCTCCCTTTCTGTGCTCCCAAAGGCTGCTCCTCTGCCTGTCCCACGCTGTCCCAGGGTCACTGTTCCCTCCTGGAGCAGTGCTGGAGCAGGAGCTGACTGCAGCCCTGCTCCTATCCGGGGGGATGCAGGAATTCCGGCAGGAACCCTCCTGAGCTCCTTCCCCAAGGCCAAGTGCAGCTCTCAGCACTTCCCCTTTGAAGTGCAAACTCCTCAGTCTGAACCACAGACCTCCAGAGAAAAAGGTTCTGGACATGAAAGCCTCGGCGTTTGGGGCTGATAATATTCCATGTTTATCCCCATCCCAGTCCCATGGATGCACTTTATCTTACATTTGATGATTACAAAAAATAAAGGTCCAGAATGCAGCTTTTCCCTTCCCTAACATCTCACACTGCAATATAAAAGCATTTCAAGCAGCTCTTAAAAACCTGCATAATTGTGTAAAAGTAGCACTGACTCTACAGTGGTTTGTAGAGGGATAAGGAAGAAAGTGAGAGCACTTTCCAGGCTTTCAGAAACTTCAGGCTGAGTATTTTTGCAGTTTTTCATTTAGATCTGTCTATGGCCCTGCATACTTTGATTTCCTCTGGTGGCATCAGCTCCACCCAAAACAAACAATTATGAAGCCAACAGAGAAAATGAAAACTGCTCCATGTGCAGAGCAAACCAACCTTAACAGCATCTGGGACTGTGTTGATCATCCTGAATTTCCTTGTTTATAAATTAGGAATAAATACCAACTGTTACCGTCCAATGGGGAAAACTAAGAATGTGTTCCCTTCTCTCCACATCCCTACTGGTTGTGTCACTCCTGTGTTTCCTCATTTCCTCCTCTGTATAATAGAAATGCCATTTATTTTGAAGAGGATTTGGTAGGATAAATCAGAATTATGTGCTTTGCTGTGCTTCAAAACTCATTTGACTTTCACTGACTTTTTTAGGTCCTTTAATGGTCATAGTGGAATATTGCAAATATGGAAATCTGTCCAACTATCTCCGAGGGAAACGAGGAGATTTCATTGCATACAAGGTATGGAAATGAGACTTCTGTCACGAGGCAGGGAATCAACAACCACTGACAAAAGCTGGATTTGCCCTGCACTGGCACCAAGGCAATTGGGTATTTCTATGGGCACTTTATTTCTCTCCACATTTTAATTTGTACAAGAAAGAAGAGGGATTTTTTTCCCCTGCAGGATCTCACTGCTGTCCTCTTCTAGCCTCTCCTAAAGAATTAATTGCAAATACCCAAACACTCCAGAGCACTTGAAAGAGAAGGAATTATTTGTGAGACACTTCCCAGAACAAGGGGGGCAACAAACTAGTAGTGAAAAACTGGCATTAACTGAACTAGGAGAAAGTGAACCCTCCCAAAATACAAATCTGGTTTGGGGATTTTTGTTTCTAGGCCCCAAGTGAAAGCAGTTCATCCTTCCCCCATCTGCTCATTCCATCCTCTGTCCCTTCCCCTGTGCCAGCCCTAAGTCTGTGCTGTAACAACAGCCTGGCTCATGGATACTCCACATCAAAACCATCCAAAGGGTTGGGTTCTTAAACAGCTCTTTGCATGCACACAAACATCTGTGCCAGCACAGACTGGGCTGGGATGGGAGCAGGACAGGAGCAGAAATCAGGGCTGGGGAGGGATGGGAGTGACTCCTCCTCATGAATACCCAGCTCTGTGACCCCAGCCCTGCCAGACACTGCAGCCTCACCAAGACCATTTTCCCAGATGATTGCAGTATTATTAGTATTGTTAAAGCTATTGTGTGCAGGCAGCAAAGTACATGAGGGACTTTGTGTGGGTGAAGGAGATTTTCCTGGTGCACTCACTCAGAATTTCTTTCTCACCATTGTTGCCACGAGTTGAGGGCTGGTTGTGCCTTATTCCCCAGCACAGACACGTCAGTGCGCATCGTGCACTCACCTTGGGGGATTTTTAGCATCCTAAGACAGCAAAAGAATGACAAGATTGAGGGGATTTTTAGCATCCTAAGACAGCAAGAGAATTACAGGATTGAGGGGATTTTTAGCATCCTAAGACAGCAAGAGAATTACAGCCTCTCTCTGCTCACCTCTCAGTCTCATCCAGCCAGCTTTCAGCTAACTCTGATGTGGAATATTGCTGTCAGTGAAAGGGGAATAATAAGTAGGAATAAGTAGGAAACCAGGCTTTATTAGTTTATAATCAGAACTAATAAAGCCTGGTTTCCTATTTATTCCCACTTCAGGAAACATCATTTTCAAACATGCTCATCTTCAGAGGACCCTTTCTCCTTATGCCATTCTGTCACATATTTTGAATCCTCAAGCATTGCATCATACAAAGCTAAAAATCAGGTTTATGCCATTTCTAGTCCCAGGAAAACTCTGACCAAGCAGAGAAGAGTCTGGATGAGTCCAACAGTGATTTGACTGAACTGATCAAGAGGCGCCTCGAGAGCGTGGCCAGCACAGGCAGCTCTGCCAGCTCAGGATTTATTGAAGATAAGAGTTACAGTGACTCAGAAGATGATGAAGAAGGTAAAAGAATCCTACCTCATCCCAAATCTTTTATTGGAAAGACTTCTGTCACTTGGCTAGCGCCACACACACTGTCACACATTTTACAAGCCCTTATATGGCTTGGCTTGTTCCTGAAATCCCAAATTCTTCCTCTTGCCTGTTCCCCACTCCCACTTTCTCACAAAAAGAGAGCTTTGCATTGTGTACAAAAGCTGCTCCTGTTGAGTGAGAGGAGAAATAGGAATGTTTTACCAGACTTGTGAGGTCACTCTGTCCCTGGGCTCTTGTCTATAAAGTTTCCCTCACTCCCAGCCTGAGGTGGTTTTTCCCCATAGCTGAATGAGTGACTAATGGACAAGGAAACTTTGTTTATCATCTAATCTTCTGCCTCTGGGTCAGTGGTTGCTCACCCAGAGCTGTAACCCTGCAGAGATCTCACACCCAGCACTCAGGTGTGGGGCTGGGGCCATCAGCACACAAGTGGCACCAGTGCCACCCAGCTCTGGAGCTGTTGCTGCAGAGTTTTGCCACGTCTCTGATCTCTCCTAGATGCTGAGGATCTGTACAAGAGGCCCTTGACTCTGGAGGATCTGATTTGCTACAGCTTCCAGGTGGCAAAAGGCATGGAGTTCCTCGCCTCCCGAAAAGTGAGCTCATTCAGACTTCTTGCAGAGTATCTGATGTGAAAAAACCCAAACACACTCTTGAGTCTGAGAAATCTGCTTTTTGCTCTTCTGTTAGAGTGCTGGAGATCACGTTAGCTCTGGTGGTTAAGCAGTAATTAGCACTGAAGGGGTTGTGGGGGAACATTCATCATGTTCTTGGCTGCAGGGACTGGCATCTGCAGCAGGAGGGTTTAGATAGAAGAATTGAAGTTCTCAGAAACTGTGAGACGATTTGTGGAGTTGCCTCATAAATAAATGCAGAAAGGTCTTGTAAAGAAAGCTCATTTTAGTGTGGTGAACACCACTACTGAAAATGAGGAGGGATTATCCAGTTATTCCTTTAGTTTGTCAGAGGTGTTGGGGACTGTCAGCAGAGTCAGCACTGCTTGGATAAACAGGAAGCAGTTTGTACCCTGTGGAACAGCTTTTCAGGTAAATGCAGCATAATCCACAGGCCAAAGTGTGCACACAACTGAGCTTCACTCACACACAGCCACCAGGGTGTTTGTTTTCCCAGCCTTTACAGAGATGGGGCAGCTGAGAGGCATTTTAGATTTTATTATTAGTCTCAATGAATATTGAGACAATAGAAATGTAAAACTCAATGCCCTTCCATCAGAAGCTAACATATTTCCTGGTTACAATACTTTATAAATGCTTTTCAGCCTATTAGCTTTTGCCCCACAAGGCTGCTATTACTTCTAACACCAGTCACCTATATTTTTACCCCATGTATTTTTGCCACACGTGGTCTGCTACAATGCATCTTTCACAGTTCTAATTCTCTAAAATATCTGATCTTTTTGCAAGGCCATTTTTGAAACTTGTTCCTTGCTCAATCTCTCTCTCTCAACAATGTCACATCTATTCCATGGCCTTCCTAAGCCAGCACACCTTATCTCAGTGTTTGCATACAGATGTACAAGATTCTGTGAGCTTTCTGTCAGGTTTTGAGAATTCTTTACAAATCCATTTCCCACACCAGGACAGCCCCCATAAACCCTGAGCAGGGTTATCCCATCTCACACCCTCCTGGACCTGCACTGGCAAATGTAGCTGCAGCTGCTTTTTGGCCTCTCCAAAATTTCCCAGGAAAAAATGAGAAAATAGGACTCCCTTCCTTGTTGTAATTGCAAAGTTATTTCAGACAGAAAAATCAGAAAACTGACTGTAATGTTGGTTTGTTCCCTGAGTTATTCCCTCTTTTGCATATCCCAGTGTATTTGGAGCAGACTCCCACTCATTCTCTGACCTGCTCCCAGCGCAGTTCATTTCTTTCCCCATTCCCAAAGAAGCTCTCCTGCCTCCAGCTAGAGCAGGAGCTCCTTGCCCAGCCCCCTGTGACCCTGTGTCCTTCCCTGGCAGTGCATCCATCGGGATTTGGCAGCCAGGAACATCCTCCTGTCCGAGAACAACGTGGTCAAGATCTGTGACTTCGGCCTCGCCAGGGATATCTACAAAGACCCCGACTACGTACGGAAGGGAGATGTGAGTGCAAGAAGCTTCAGCTCTTACCCTCAAGCTGGGCTTGGGCAGATCAGTTACAGCAGATCTGGCAAACCTGTTGTGTCTCTGGCTTTTAGGCACGGCTTCCACTCAAGTGGATGGCTCCAGAAGCTATTTTTGACAAAATTTACACCACGCAGAGTGACGTGTGGTCTTTCGGAGTGCTGCTGTGGGAAATATTTTCTCTAGGTAAGAATGGTTTCAAACACTTTTTTTCCCCTCTAATTTATTGCTGCTTATCTATGAAAAGCTGTTAACAAAAGGTGATCATTGGGGCAGTGCTTCTGTTTCACTGAGGACGAGTACATAGTGCAGACCAGGTGTAAAATAAAGCCAATTTCAATGAGAACTCCACCTGACAAAGGACATGAAAACATGAAAACAAAAATCCAAAATCCTGGACCTAACATTTGTACCCACTGAAAGCAACAGAGCCCAGAGGTAAAATGCAAGCCTGTGTGGCTGGGAGGAGTGGGAGATTTCTTGGAGAGCTGTGAAGAAGTTTTCTATCAAACCACACCTGCTTCAGGGAACCCCACAGCTGCAGAATCACCCTGCTGTGGGCACCCTGGCTGCTGCTGGTAGCCCATGCAATGTGAGCCCACATGATATTTTGTCCTAGCTTGATCATCCACCCCACAAAATCTTAAGATTTTTCTAGGTAGGAAAAATCTCCTGGCAGCAGCTGCTGTTGGGTTGGTGCAAGGAGCAGTGCTGGGCTCAGCCAAAACCCTTTTGGCAGCAGACCAAGGGTAGAACATGGGCTCTTGTGGCTGCATCATTTGCAAGCCACAACATTTCTAAAAGAATAATGATGATGTTCTTTATGTACTCGAGATTTCATCCCAGGATGCTGTTAGAAATCTCAGCCTCACTGAGCCCTGGTTATTGTCCAGCAGATAAAGCTGTGAGACCTACACAAGCAGCCCTACAGACACTTGGACTGTGCTGCTCTCAGATTCTCCTTGAAGAGGGCCAAGATTTGTTTTCCTGAGGGAATTTAGGAATGTTAGCTCTGGCTTTTTAATCAGCATTTGCAGACAAAAGAAAACAAGAAGTATTGTCAACTTAAGCTGCTGAATTTTAAAGCAAACTCTAATCTCCTTCTATCTTAGGTTCATGGATCAGTTGAAATTAATGATTGGGCTCAAGATGCCAAGTGAAAAATGCAAAGTCTGGAGCTGTTTCTATCCTAATCTTTACTTAGGGCTGGCTGCAAAATCATAACCTGCTCTCAGTCCAAGTCTTTGATTTGGACTTTTCTCTACTCCACATCTGCACACCAAGCAGAAAATTCACACTCGAGTGGTTGAAACAAGTGGCAGCTGCTGCTTTCCCTGGGCTCAGCCCTGGTTTTTAGGGTGTTGTTATTTTGGGGTAAGAGCATCGCCCACTGCAGGTGTAGAAACAGCACAGAAAGGCAAAGCTGCAGAAGCACCAGGAATGCCCTGGTTTTATCAGATTATTCAGGCAGATGCTTTAGCATCAGCATCTAGAGACACACTCAAGGGACAGGGCTCTCCACTGGGAACCAAAGGGATGGAAGGCTGATGAATCCAAGGGGCACTGCAGAAACAAACTTTGTATCGCTCCCAAAGGTCCTGACAGAATTTAACAGATGGCCTTTAATACCCAACACTAATACAAATTAAAATCCAGTCAGTGAAATTCACCTTTATTTTAATCTATTTTTTTAAAAAACCATTTCATCTGGGTTCTTTTAGCTCCTTTCTTGGCACTGTCCCCTTCTGAATTTGGAATCTCCCAAATGGTTCCAGGGGCTGCCACCCGTGCAGCAGCCTCTGCCCTGGCTGTGACGTAGATCACAAACTGCTTTTTCAGTTGGTGGCACAGGCTCAAAACCAGTCATTTTCTCTGAGAGGCTTTTTCATCCAGCTCATCCAGGCATGCCTGTGGTTTGGCACTGCTCACATCTGCAGCTCAAATGATAAATATTTAATTAAGGATTTGTGTCACTGATTGAATTCTGTCATATAAAAGTTTTACAGATCATTGAGAGCCACGAGATGGAAGTTATTTGTCGTTGCCATAGGGTGTGTTTTGGCTCCCATTTACAGCTGCTGCTCTCACTGGGTCCCACAGACTGAGCACCCTCTAAAAAAGGGAAAAATACTGATTAAGAAAATGCAGAGTGTAGTTTGTGTCATGAAGGACAATAGGCTGCCTGCAGAAAGGCTGGCAGCCTGGATCTGCTTTGGTGATACACAGGGAAATCAGGACTTGAGGGAATATTAATTTCCATCTGGGACTGAGTTTGCAATGAGCTTTAAATTATCCCAATGGGGTCAGAACACCTCGTGTCAGGTAGTGTCAGCAGTGTTTAACACATTCTGAAATCACTAATGGTACAGAATGTCGGTGTCTCCTGGAATTTCAATGTGCACTGTTCCAAAAGCAATCAGAGATAATTATGTAAACAAGCAGTGCCTGGTAGTAACATCAGCATCTCATTATCCCACTAAAATAAAACCAAGATCAAAAGAGGGCTCCCATATCCAATGCATGCCACATCTTTGAGCATTTTGAAGGAG